CTTCTAACTATTTCAAAATATACAATATACTGCCATTATCTATAGTCACTCTACTATCAAATGTTAGCACTTATGTTTTTGTATGATTAGAACTTATTACTTTTATCTAACTATATGTTTGTATCTATTAATCAACCTGTCTTCACTGCCCCCAGTCCCCACCCTTCCCAGCCTTTAGTACGGGGGGCCCCAACCCCCAAGCCACGGGCTGGTGCTGGTTGGTGTTCTGTTAGGAACTGGGCTGCACAGCAGAAGGTGAGCAGTGGGTGAATGAGCATTACTGCCTGAGCTCCACTTCCTGTAAGATCGGCAGTGGCATTAGATTCTCACAGGAGTGTAAACCCTGTTGTGAACTGTACATGTAGAGGGATCTAGGTTGCACTGGCTCCTTATAAGAATCTAATGCCCGATGATCTGTCACTGCCTCCCATCATCCTCAGATTTCCCCTGAGCAGAAAAACAAGCTCAGGGCTCCACCGGATTCTTACATTATGGTGAGTTATTATAATTATTTCGTTACGTATTACAATGTAGTAATAATAGAAAATAGAGTGCACAATAAATTAATGCACTTGGAATCATCCCCAAAACCAATCCTGCCCCCACGTGGTCTGTGGACAAACTGTCTTCCGTGAAACTGGTCCTAGTGCCAAAGGGCTGGGGACTGCCTGCTCTAGTGTATATCATTATACTCTCCCAGTATCATGAGATCAGCTTTTTAGTCCCCACATATGAGTAAGAAAACTGAAAATTTGTCTTGTGTGCATGGGCCTTTTCATGTAACATAATGACCCCCAGTTCCATCCATGTTGCTGCAAATGACATGACTTTTATTCTATTTTATGGCCAAATAGTATTACATTGTGATTACATATATCCGTCTCCCTCCTCCCTCCTTCTATCCTCTCTTCCTCTTTCCTTCTTTCCTCCCCTTTCCTTTCTTTTCCTTCTTTCCTTCCTCCCTCCTTCCTTCCCTTCCTCCTTCCTTCCTTCCTTCTTCCTTCCTCCTTCCTTCCTTCCTTCCTCCTCCTTCCCTCCTCTATCCTCCTTCGCCTACCTTCCCTCCTCCCCTCTTCCTTCCTTCCTTCCTCCTCCTTCCTTCTTCCTTCTTCCTTCCTTCCCTTTCCTCCTTCTTCCTCTTCCCTTCCTTTGTTTTTGGTAGAGACAGAGTCTTGCTATGTTTCCCAGGCTCGTCTGAAACTCCTGAGCTCAAGTGATCGTCCTGTCTTGGTCTTCCAAAACTCTGGAATGACAAGCATGAGCCATCATATCCAGTCTGTACTACATGTTCTTTATCCATTCATCTGTTGATGGACATTGAGGTTGACTCTGTATCTTTGCTAGTGTGAATAGTTCCCAGCAAGTTATTAACAAACATATAGGCATCTGCTTAAGATGGCACCTGTTTTTAACTTATAATCTCTATTATTAAGTCAGTCTATACTCACCTAGATTTATCTACTGACACATATACCTGGATGCCCTTGACTGTCCCCTGTAACTCCAAACTTCAAAATATTCCCATGTTCATCTATGTGATTAAAAGCAGAAAAGACTGAGAAGATTAAAAGGAGCAGTTCCATTTTGTTACATGATTAAGTTTCATTATGTCAATAGAATTGGGCTGTTGGCCAAGCCTTATAATTGATGGACTTGTTGGCCTATTAGGAGGAACACATCAACTTGTATTATTAAATGGTGTCACATCAGGTTTAACTGCTGTGAGAACAGACTTGCCTTGGATCAACCTTTGAGTCTTTGACACTCACAGTCATTACAAGGGTCTGACTGGAGGGAAGCCTAAGCTTTGGTTTTGCATTGGGGAGCACATGAGAAAGAGTACCTACCACTTCCTCCTTGGCATGGGGTCCTTCAGACAGTTGAGGTTTTGACTTGTGGCCTGCTTTGCCTGCTCTTTTCTTCCCAAATAGATGATGTAGACCAATCCAGCTTGGTCATAAATCTATTTCCCTTTTTAAATATTTTGCAAAACGTTCTGGTGCATGATTAAAGCTGAAACTTGGCACTTGGGCACAACAGGGGACACATTTGCTACTTTGAATTTTATCAAGCAGCACACTTCCCCTCTGTCCTCCAAAGCAGCTTGGAGAGTGTTCTCTAGAGTATGTATTTATTGCAAAAATATAGAGCCATGGGCCAGATTTTAATTCTGTTAACTTTTCTATGCAACGGATTTGTTCAAAAGAGAAATTCTGATTAAGTGTATACATAAAAGTTAGAAATTTGGAGGCAAATGTTTTCTAAGCTATAATTATTTCTCTGGATGTCATTTCTCTGGGGCTTTAACTATTAATTTAGATGGGAGGCCTACTTTGTATTTTCCATTTGCCCATGTGGTTTGTTTATAAACAGTTTGTTTATGGAAGCTATATGTGTTGTTTTTAAATAAGATTGTGATATTATTACTGCCCATGGCAATCTCCAGCCTAATTTAATAATTCGCATGGTACAGTTTCTCTAATTGAATTGTGTGAGTCGTAGATAATATGAGTGGCTCAAAGGTACCTGTTGTCTCACAGCTCTGCTCATTCCCTCTGAGCAGGAAGCTGAAGTTTACAAAGGGATCGCTTGGTAAACAAGAGTTTAAAGGAACACGCTGAGACCAACAGGGACTGTTAAAAGTTCAGATAATGTAATAATGTCACCCATAACTCTGGGTGTACAAACTGCAGATTTATGCAAGTAATTAATAGTGTCTTGCCAAGAGAGTTGGTAGGCTTTTCAAAAGGAATCTTTCTTTGTGTCTTTTGATATTTAAAGAGCTGTAATTAGAATGGCAGAGCTTTGAATCCTTTTTTTCCCCCATCCTCTTATACACATTAATTTATGGACCAATCCAGTATTACAGACAAGCTAATGAAAGAACCACACACTTCCTTTATAATTTTTTTTTACAGTTTCACTTGTGTGGATGAATGTAAAGTAGTTAATGCTATAAATAAGTATAATGATGTATCTCTTCTCTCAATTGCCAGTTGTTGATGCTGTAGTCTCAGACAATAGAAAAAAAGAATTGAATTTAAATCTCTACCCATCTTGCTTTTTTCCTCTCTCTTGTGCACCAGTTAGGAAATTCAAATATTTCTGCCATTATAAGGTGTTAAAAAAAAAAGAGACTTAAGCTGAATTTCTGTTCCTTCTCTTTATTTTTAGAGTCAGAGAAAACAATTACATAACTTCTGCCATTAGCTTAGGCTAAGGTTTAGCATCTTAGCTCCTCAGCAGGGTTCTCTTTCATGCTGGTAAGTGTTGGGAATAGCACGCAGACCTCTTGTCTTCTCCATGCCCTACAAGTGGGACTACACTAACAGCAAACCTTTGGATATCCACAAAATTAGTTTGACTTTTGGCTCCTTATGGGAGTATGTTGGCAGAGCACACGGATGTATTCCCTAATATTTTTGAACGTTTCTTTTAAGACTTTGAAATGGTTTCTGCTTTTTTGGCAAACAAGCTATTTTTTTCTTTTCTTTTTTTTTTTTGTATTTGCCCTAACTAAAGGTATAAAACTTATTAGAGTACTTTACTTAAACAGCCTGCTGAGTACAAGGCTAAGGTCAGGGCTCGTGGCCTTCCAATAACTGGGGACCAAAATATGAACCACAGTTATATTACACTTACAGAAGCACCAGAGCCAAGACACTTCCAGTTCTTTCTTCATGCATATGAGTTTTTGTTCGTTTGTTTGTTTTTGAGACGGAGTCTCACCTGTCGCCCAGGCTGGAGCACAGTGACGTGGTCTGTGCTCACTGCAAGCTCCGCCTCCCGGGTTCACGCCATTCTCCTGCCTCAGCCTCCCGAATAGCTGGGACTACAGGCACCCGCCACCAGGGCCGACTAATTTTTTTGTATTTTTAGTAGAGACGGGGTTTCACCATGTTAACTAGGTGGTCTGAATCTCCTGACCTCGTGATCCGCCCACCTCGACCTCCCAAAGTGCTGGGCATGCATATGATTTTTAATAAATGAAAGAATATGTTTCTTTTTTCCAAACAAAACGCACATGGTGCCACACTCAGTTCTTGGGACTTAATCACACATTCCATAATACCAACATCATGAATGCCAAGTTTCTTTATCTATTTACTTTATGTATTTCTTCCATAAGCTTAGACTTTGAACAGACTGAGCATCATCTAATCCAAATTTTGTTATTTCGTGAATAATAAAATTGAGATGCAGAAAACGGAAGTGGTGCGCGAGTACCCAACAGATAGTTCGTAGGAAAGACAGCATTTAGGTCTCCATTATCCATGAACAGCACATCCTTCTGTGGTCTAATCATTTGTTTTAATGATATCTGTCAGTTCAGCTGGGTCAGAGTCGAAGCAGTCATTTTCCTGTTTTCTCAGTTTGTTGACTCTTTTAAGCTGTAATGTTCTTGAGAGTAAAAGCCTTGTGTGTTTAATTTGCTTTTTGTGGTACCTGGGAGAACTTTATGAAAATAATTAGAGTGTATGATGGATACCACACTCCAGCAGCAACACAGCATAATTTTTAAAAATCAGCTTTGGGTACCATAATCTTGACACTGCAAGTGTTTCGGTAAACCACCTGATTCTGTTTAACAGTTCCAGGAGAGCACCACTAAATTTGAACCATTTTAATAGTAATGAGACTTCCTGAGAAAAATAGTGCCCACACAGTAGATACAATTTAATACATGTTTAATTTAAGCATAATTTTGTGGACAACAATTACAAATAACATATAGCACTAAGGGCATTAGCTCCATGTTGATTTGATCAATACCATGTTTTTGTTGTCTTTTGGGGCATTGTTTCCTGATCCATCATGCTATTTCAAATGTGTTGAGTTTGGAAAGTTTCTTCCTTATATCAAAACTTGTCTACTAATTGCAAATAATTTTTAGATACTTTGTCTATATTTGCTTAAGAGGTTCAAACTAAGTATTGGGTAATTATTAAGTATGTTTCCAAAGTAATAGTTACTGCTGTTTCTTTTCTGCTACTTCACAGATCAACACCAGGAGGAAGGAGAAGGCCTGTTGCTGCAGTTCCAGCTGTTCCCCTGTGTTCCCTGAGCCATAAAACCAGCAAGTTTTTATTAATGATTTTCAAAAGGGGAGGGAGTGCACAAATAGGGTGTGGGTCCCAGAGATCACATACTTCACAAGGTAATAAAATATCACAAAGCAAGTGGAGGCAGGGCGAGATCACAGGACCACAGGATGGGGTGAAATTAAAATTGCTAATGAAGTTTCGGGCACGCATTGTCATTGATAACCTCTTATCAGGAGACAGGGTTTGAGAGCAGACAACCTGTCTGACCAAAATTTATTAAGCGGGAATTTCCTGTCCTAATAAGCCTGGGAGTGCTACAGGAGACAGGGGCTTATTTCATCCCTTGGACTTTGACCGTAAAAGGCGGCTACCCTGAGGGGTCCGTTCATAGACCTACCCTCAGGGTGCATTCTCTTTCTCAGGAATGTTCCTTGCTGAGAAAAAGAATTCAACGATATTTCTCCTATTTGCATTTGAAAGAAGAGAAATACGGCTCTATTCTGCCTGGCTCACCAGTGCAGTCAGGCTCCAAGTCTTATCTCCCTTGTTCCCTGAACATTGCTGTTATCCTGTTCTTTTTTCAAGGTGCCCAGATTTCATATTGTTCAAACACACATGCTCTACAAACAATTTGTGCAGTTAACGCAATCATCACAGGGTCCTGAGGCGACATATATCCTCCTCAGTTTAAGAAGAAGATGACGGAATTAAGAGATTAAAGTAAAGACTAAAGACAGGCATAGGAAATCACAAAGGTATTGATTGGGGAAGTGATAAGTGTCCATGACATCTTCACAATTTATGTTCAGAGATTGCAGTAAAGATAGGTGTAAGAAATTATAAAGGTATTAATTTGGGGAACTAATAAATGTCCATGAAATCTTCACAATTTATGTTCTTCTGCCACTACTTCAGCTGGTCCCTCCATTCGGGGTCCCTGACTTTCCACAACAGCCTGTGATGTGTTTCTTTCCCTTTACAAGGAGAGGGTGTACATGCCCAAGTAGGAGAGAAGACAGGAGGCCAGGCACAGTATCCTTGTGAACATGTCAGTAACCAGCATAACTAATGATAATTTATAGGAGGGAAGTCCTTATCTGTGGAATGTTTTAGTTAAGATGTCTCTGGTTTAAAATGCCTACAGCAAACAAACTCAGAATCTATGGATTTATGAGACACAGCTTCCTAGAAGATGCCTTAGATGCAACTTTCTGGAAATAACTCAGAGATGTTTCCTAACCTAAAATGCCCCCTACTGTGAGAGAAAACTGTACTTCACCTGGAGAGCAGGTAAAGTATCTATTGTCTGAGCCAGAGGTACAACTGAGACAAAAAATAAGCATCTGGAAAGCTGTACTTCAAACATCAAACGTCTCTTTGCTGTGTCTGTGCATCTTAGTCATTTATATTCTCAAGTTAAATTAGTAAGCTTAATGCTAGGTGAAATCCTTGTGAATGTCTGGATAACCAGATCCTTTGTGTTAGCTCAGCTATGGTGTGAGAGAAAGAGGACTTTTGCTCTCTTTCAATGTTCTTTTTTGGTGAAACCCACTGAAGTAGTGATACCAGTCTGTTCCTTGGGGGTCATTACTTTCTATGTCTTGTAGTGAAGAAGATTGGTCTATGTGCATACTTTCTTTGTTTTAGTGGCAGAAGAGGCCAACATATAGATTGGACATTACCTGAAAAGTTATCTTTGGCTGTGAAGAAAGCATCAGTTCTTTTGGATTCCTACTTTTGAAATCTCCAGAAATCCTCTTACTCTTCCACCCAGATTTTCACTGTTTTATAATTTTCTGACCACTGTGTTTGTGAGCTATGAGTAGATGACAAATAGTGGGAGCAGTGTTGAATTTTCTTTGGCATAGTTGGCATAGTCTGTAATTTATATTGTTCTTGAAAGAACAATGCTTTTTCCAGTCATGAACTAAGTATTAGATTTAAAATCAGAGAAACGTCCCATTCTACTTCTCTAATTATCTTTCTGAATTTAAATGTGTAATTTATGTTCTGGTCTTCACTCCTCAAAAATAGAGTTAAATATTTTCCTTTTGTGGTAAAAAAGATTTCAGCCTATTTGTGTTTGTGCCTTGTGGACATGCGTTTGTGTATGTGAGAGAGACAGACTGTAAAATCTTGTTGATCTTGGTTCCTTAATATCAGGTGGTAAATGTAATAAACAAATACTTTGTAACTGGTTTGTAAATAATAGCACAGCATTCTTTATGAATATTTGAGCTTAAATATTCAATAGGATCTCAGTGAGATAACAGTAATTCCATTAGACTGATTGGCAGATAGATTTCTGGAATACAGTCTGCAAATCCATATTAACTTTATTGATCTTTCTGGCTGTATTTTAATCAAATTATAGCTTTAGAGAAAGTCACCCTTTATTTCTATATCTTTTTGTTTAATGGAAAAGTAACTTTTTAAAGCTGGAAAAGGCTTGTAGCTGATATATAAAATTCTGGCCAAGGTCAGGAAAAATCAATTCATTGGCTTCTGTAAAGATACAAAATTGAACCACAGTAAATTACAAAACTATATTCACCGTTTTTACTTGTCTTTTTATTATATCTCTTTTTTTCCTAATTTGTAGCTGAAAGAGGAATTTTTAGAATATTTAAATGTGCAAAACTTAAGGATTATAATTTAAAAGCATCTAACTTTAAGAAAACAAAATTTACCCTAGAGTTATTTCATACTGCATTAGGTGTTTAAAGTTTATATTTGAATTTACTTCAACAATCATTTATTGAGTACGGCTAGGTACTGACCTTGGTATTAGAGAAATACCAGTAAACAGAACAGATAATCCCTGTCCTCATAAAGCTTGCATTCTAGTGGGCAAGAAAGAAAATGAATAAACTCAATATGCAATTTACAAAATATATTTAAAACTGGTAAATGATAAAGGGAAAAAAGAAAGCAAGAAAGAAGTAGTCTTGGTCAACTTGGCTGCTGTAATAAAACACCAAAGACTGGGTCACTTATAAACAACAGAAATTTATTTCTCACTATTCAGGAGGCTGCGAAGTCCACGATTGAGATGTCAACAGATTCGGTCTAATGAGGGCCTGCCTCCTAGTTCCAAGATGGTGTTTTTTTTTTGTCCTCACATGACAGAAGAGGTCAGGGCTATTCTCTGGGGCCTCCTTTATAAGGGTACAAATCTCATTCATGAGAGAGCTCTGCCCTCATTACCTAATTACCTCCTAAAGGCTCCACTTCCTAAAAATACTATGTTGATGATTAGGTTTCAACATATGAACTTCGGGTGGACACCAATATTCAGGCCATAGCTGGACGCTAGTGAGTTCTGGGAGATGGGAGCTACTGGATTTTAAATATATTGATCAGGACAGATTTAAGAATGTGATATTTGAGCAAAGGAGATTCAGGGAGTTTTGCGCCTCTTTGAGGAAGAGCAGAAGGAACAGCTAGTGAAAAGCCCCTGGAAACAGGAGGGTATCTTGAGTCTTTGAGACTCAGCCAGGAGGCAAGTATAGAAAAAGGAGGAGAGTAGTAGGAGATGTGCATGTGTGCGTATGTACCTGGGTTCATACAAATCATGCAAGGCCTCGTGGACCATTGTAAAGATCTGGCTTACTCTGAGTGAACTGGGAAGCCACTGGGGGTGTTTAAGCAAAGTTATAATATAACCTGGCTTCAGTAAATTTGAAGTATTTACTATTGGAGTAGGATACGAATGTCACAAGTAGGTACTTGGAACACAGATTAGCAAGACTAGGTAAGACTAAAAGGATAATTTTGGTTACAGTATTAAGAATTAGTAGAAGCAGGGCTGGGCGCGGTGGCTCACGCCTGGAATCCCAGCACTTTGGGAGGCCGGGGTGGGTGGATCACTTGAGTTCAGGAGCTTGAGACCAGCCTGACCAACATGGTGAAACCTCACCTCTACTAAAAATACAAAAATTAGCTGGGTGTGGTGGCAGATGCCTGTAATCACAACTGCTCAGGAGGCTGAGACAGGAGAATTGCTTGAACCTGGGGCGGAAGTTGCAGTGAGCCGAGATCGTGCCCCTGCACTCCAACCTGGGCGACAGAGTGAGACTCTGTCTCAAAAAAAAAAAAAAAAAGAATTGGTAGAAGTAGAGAGACCCTTCTGGAAGATGTTAAAATAATCCAGGCAGAGTTGATGATGGATTGGATGACGGTGAGAGTGATGTATGTGGCGAGGTGTGGTTGAATTCTGTATTTATTGCAAAGGTGAGTCAATAGATTTTGCTGACAGCCTGGATCTGAGGTATTAGAGAAACAGAGAAGTTAGAGACAATTCCAAGGTCTTTACCTCATGTCTGGAAGGATGGAATTGGCAATAACTTAGATGGGGATGATTCAAGACAAAGAAGATTTTAAGACTCACTTGTGTGTATGTTAAATTTGAGTCGCCTACTGGACATTCAAGTGGAGATGTCAAGTTGGTAGTTGAATACTTGACTCTGAAATTGAGAGTAGAGTTCTGAGTTGGAGATATTATATAAATTTAGAATCCCTAATGAATGGATGGTATTTAAAGCCATCAGCTTGGAAAGGATCACTGGGGAAACAAGTGGAGAAGAGAAGAAACACAGGAAAGAGTCCTGGGTAAATTTAATGTTGAGAAGTTGGGAATATGAGGAAAGACTAGCAAAGGGCACTGAGCAGAGGTACCCAATGGGTAGAGGGACAAGCAGGTGAGCGTGGTGTCCTGCAAAACAAATGGAGACAGTGTTTCAGGGAGGAGAGTAATCAACTGCCCCAAACTGTTGACTGTTTTGGGATATGATCTATTGAGATTTTATTTTGGGAATTTAAAAATTCTCTAGTATTTGCCATTTTGTGTACTGAAAAGGGAGAAATTACTATAACAACTATAACACTAACATTATTTAAAATCAAGTGTTTTTCCTCTAAAAAGAGAATAGGATATTCTTTTTTCTTATTCTTTGGTAGAAATATTAGCATGAACTTGTATTAGTCTCTATCTTTTACATGAGATATACATATATATGGCTATATGTATATA